TCTGTATGACCCCTGCAACTTTTCTGTTTATCTAAAAATATTCCAAAATAAAAAAGTTTTTTTTAAAAGCATATGAAAACACTTAAAATTTTTGGAAGGATTTTTAGTGAAAGATTAACAGATTACCTCTGAGTGCTGTGATTACAATTGATCTTAAGTTTTCCAGTTTACAATGAGAGTTATTTTGGGTTAAAAAAAAATCGATAAAGTTCTTTCCCTCTGGTGAAGGAGATTAGCATACAAATGTAAATTGTTGTTATCATTGTTCTTATCCCATGGCCTATCTCTTGCGCCATTATATTTCTTTTTTATTTGATTGAGTTTTCTTTTTGGCTGTGCTGGGTCTTTGTTTTTGCTCTGACTTTCTCTAGTTGCAGTGAGCAGGGTTTACTCTCGAGTTGTGGTGCGGGGGCTTCTCTGGCGGCATAGCAGTGGCTTCCGTGGCTTGGTGCCCGGGCGTGGGTGCCCCGTGTAAGTGGGATCTTCCTGGACCAGGGATTGAACCCGTGTCTCCTGCATTGGCAGGCGGATCCTTTATCCCTAGCCGTTGGGGAAGCTCTCTCCGTTAGATTTCCTGTAGATCCTCTAGGGTTTAAGTTTTCCCTTCTGGGTGTAGCTGGGCAGGGAAGAGCACCTGTGATGACAAAGCATAGGATGAAGTCTCTCTGGAATCAGACAGACCTGGGTTTGAATTTGTCTCTCATCAGCTGTGTGATCTTGGTGGATTAGTTGCTTTGTCTGTGGATCACTTTTTTAAACATCTGTACAATGGGTTTAATGACCTAGATCTCACAAGTTCATTTTTAAGAGCTAATTGAAATAATACTGTGTTACTCACAGTGGGCGCCTCCGAGGTCTCGGTCCCGAAGACAACCTTCTGTTTGATGTTCCTTACCCCGAACACGGCTTTTCTGAAAACTTGCGCAGTAAGCATGCCACTTCTGCGATAGAGGAGAGTGTGAATTATATTTATTTGTCAGTTCACTTAATAAGAATTTGTGGGCTGTTACCCAAACATCGGGTGTTTGGGGATCATGATTTTGCTGTCCCCATTTCATTCCCAGTGTCCCGTGCTCTGTGCCTGGACAATCTCTGCGGGTTACGTTTGTGTATGTTGTGTCTAAATTAGGCTGGTTGGAAACAATCCTTTGTAGCTGTGACTTTCTTCCTTTTCTCTCCCTCTCAGCCCCCATTCCCTCATAAAGGCGCATTGACTTCTGATGTCCTTGTCCCACCTTACCTCTAAGTGCTAATCTCCACGGGTCCCTGGGGAGGGAGGCGTGGCCATCGTCCCTGGTGGTGCTTGATTAAAGGTGCTTCTGTAAACTTCGCCTGTCCATGCAGAGTGACCCCAGGATTCTCACCTTAAATTGGAGCCTACGGCTCTCCTGCAAAGAATGGAATGGTCTGCCCTTCTGGAAACCAGACCACTTACAGTCTGAGCCCAGCTGGGCCACCGATGACCTCTCTGGAAAGGTCAGTAGAGCCTGTCCGAATTCCCCCTCCTTCATAACAGCATAGGGGCTGCTGAATTTCCTGGGTCTGATGTTCTCTGATTCCAGAACATTTGGCAAGAAAAGACACCATCCTTGCTCACCCTCCAGAACACAAAACAAGAAACGCCAACATCAGAGGCTCAGAGGCTTTGAACATACCATTCAAGAAGATGTTTATTTAATATTGGCTAAAAATGTACTACTTTACCTTTGAAAAAAAAAATTAAATGACTTGGAGGACTTCAAAGCCTTTCCTCTCCCCTCTGCTTTCCAGGAGGAGAAATATTTTTCAAAGTCGTTTGAATTTTAAAGAGGAGGGCCCCAGAAGCCCTTGGAATGGAGATCCGTGAGTCAGTCAATTATTTTTCAGAAGGTGGTTTTATGCACAGCTTGAAATGGAGACCCTTCTGTCCCATGTCATTCCCCACTTCCCTTCCTATTTTTAATTTCTCACTTCAACCCTGTACATGTGCTGGGAAACTTAATCCATTTGTTTCTGATTCATTTACACTTAACTCATCAAAATGCTATTTAGGGAGAGTATTTCGAGTCCTAGAGGTGCTGAATCCAAGGAACAGGAAACTGTGTCTTGTGCAGAGAAACTGACTGCAGACCCAGGCTGCTCTGACTTGGCTCTTGAGCCAGATCCCAAAGTGAATCTGTGTCCGGCGACTTTAAATCCAGCCCGAGGGCCTCTCGTGCTTTGCCTTCTTCTTGGCTCTCTCCATTTTCCTAACCCTGCATACTGTGGGTTTGTGTGAATAGCTCTGAAAACTCACCACTGCTTGAGAAGCTGTTTGAGATGCACTTCATCCCCCTCCCAAATTTTATTATGGGAAATTACAAATATGTGTAAAAATTGAAAGAATTACACACCGAGCACCCATAGATACCCACTGCATCGATTCCATCATTGATTCGCTGGACTTGCATTATTACATATCCAGCTTAATTTCCAGGTGTCTCTCTGTCTCATCTTGTTTGGTGCTTTCAAAGCAAGTGACATGCACGAGTACACTTTCCTCCAAATACTACAGGATGCATTGTTATTTTTCAGTTGCTAAGTTGGGTCTGACTCCCACGGTCTGCAGCACACCAGGCGTCCCTGTCCTTCACTATCTCCCAGAGTTTGCTCAAACTCATGTGCATTGAGTCAGTGATGCCATCCAACCATCTCATCCTCTGTCACCGCCTTCTCCTTCTGCCCTCAATCTTTCCCAGCATCAGGGTCTTTTCCAGTGATTTGGCGCTTCACAAAAGGGGGCCAAATTACTAGAGCTTCAGCTTCAGCATCAGTCCATCCAATCAATCTTCAGGGTTGATTTCTTTTAGGATGGACTGGTTGGATCTCCTTGCAGTCCAAGGGATTCTCAAGAGTCTTCTCCAGCACCCCAGTTCAAAACCATCAGTTCTTTGGCTCTCAGCCTTCTTTGTGGTCCAACTCTCACAGAGTTGCCTTTTCCCTCTTGCAAGTTTTTTAATCCATTTATTCAAAATCAGTGTCTAAGGATCTGCTGTTGCCACAGTCCTAAGTGGGAGGCTGAGGGCGGTTTGGAAGTAGAGAAGACGTGGCTCCTGCCTTGGGGTGCTCTGTCTGTTTGGGAAGGATGAATAAAAGCAGCTAGACTTGCAGGCAGAAGGAGGTCGGTGCTGGGAGAGATTTGAGGGAAGGAAGTGCACACTGTCACTTGTCACCTGCATGACCCGGCCTTGACCCAAAGCCTCCACCTGCTCATCTGGGCAATGGGGCTGTGATGGGTCCACCTCCCATGGTGGTTGTGGGGATTCGAACCCCTGCCCAGAAGGTCCCGAGCCTCATGCCTGTGCGGAGTGCTCACTCGAGAAGGGAGAGCCTGTAGAATCATTGCGTGTGCAGGTCTGTTCAGTCTGGGGCTCCAAAGCCATTAAATTCCATTGGGTAAATCGGGCTCTCCCAGCAAAGGTATACATTCCTTAAAAGCTGGGATCGTCTCGTCCTATTTTTCTGGGCCCCACCCTGAGGATACTGCAGACCCAATGGACTCTCCCTAATAGTGGAAATTCAGGTGTAAGGGCTTAAAAAAAAAAATTTTTTTTTTAAAGGAAACAAACCCCACCATGGGTGTGGCGTTGGCTCTGCCCGCAGACCTGGATAATCTCAGACAGGCTCTTCAAACCAGCGTTTTAAAATCACAGCGGACGCTTGGTGAGGATTTGATGATCCTCCTGGACTGTGCTTCCTGCCCAGCCCCGGGCGACTGGGGCTCCCCCGACTGTGATTGTAAATAATCCGCGCGAGGTGCCTACAGAGGACGAGGTGAAGGATGGAGTCCCCGACCGATCCTAGGAATGTGCGGAGGGAGATGCTGAGTGGGTGCCGTCGGTCCCGGCGTTCAGTTCACCGTGGCGTGGCCTCCCAGGGCTCCGGACCTCAGACCGTCCTCCGCCGCTTCTTCACCTACCTCCACGCCAGTCCTGCAGCCTCCTGTCTCCTCTGCGCCTGAATCCTAACAGCTGGGCCTGGTGTCAGAGGCAGAGAACCGTCTGGACTCCCCTCCCGGCCTCCCGCTCCATCGCTCCCCTTTGCTCCAAGATTGAGTAAGAGACCTTGGCGCGGAGCTGGGCAAGACAACTCAATTGTTTGAACTTGCAGAGCGAGGGGGGAGGTGGGTTCTCGTCTGCCAGTGACTCACGGACCCAGTCCCCGTCCCCCCCGCCCTGCCCTCCAAAAGTTCCAAAAATCCAGTGCACAACCAGCAACAAAACCACAAGAAAGTGGCCCCCTTGTCTGCACACACTGGGCCTGGAGCTCAGAAACCCCTGGAGAGAGCGTGCTGGAGTGAGTGCCTCCTGCTCAGTCTGCCGGGCCCTGTCCTGTGGCCCCCGCGTCCCGTGTTAGGGGCTTGCCGCTCGGAGGCCGGCGTGACTCCGCGGGCGAGCGGACTGGACCACCCTGGGGCAGCCGGGTCGGGGGACCGGGTCCCGCCCCACCGGCGTGCCTCCTGCCCACCCTGCCCCCCTGTCCGGCCTCCGGGGGTCCCTTCTCAGCACAGCTTTGAGAACAGCTTCTCCTCTGTTTCCTGGCCTCCGGGGGCGGGAGCTGGAGCCGGGGCAGACCGTGTAACCCGTCCAGGCTTCATTCCTATGCAAGACAGGTAGGCTGCAGGCTGTAACAGGCCGCCAGCCAGGCTCCACCGGGCCTCGGCACCAGTGGAAATTTAAAAAAAAAAAAAAAAAAAAAGTGAGCAGGAGGAGTGAGCGAGAGAGGGATTATTTTGTTTCAACGTGTTTGAAAGTGGGATCTGTGGCCAGTTGGGTTTTTTTTTTCTCCCCCCCTCCCCCCGCCTTATTTACACAGTCTGTTCAGAGACACACCAGGGCGTGTTTGCGCTGGGTGTTTGTTTCGGAGGCCGGCCAAGGATTTCAGCTCTGCGTGTTGGCTCTGCCACCTCGGCGGCACCGGGAGGCCCGCTCGGTCACAAGACCTCACGGGGCCTCCTCGCTCTGTGCTTATCCTCCGCTCACCTCCCCTGCCCCCGCTTCGCGGGTGCCCGGCAACCTCGGGGCCACGGGGAGCAGGGGTGCCCACTGGGTGGACTTCACCTTCAGAATGAGGGCTTTCGGAGGAGGTCCCCGCCGGGGTGCCCTGGGCGGGACGGATGGAAAGGCCGGGGGTACAGACATGGGGATCTGTGATTTTTCTAGAAGGGTCTGGATTCCCCGAGGGCCTCTGATGAAACTTGCAAGGCGTGGACTAGCTCCAGGTCTGGGGAGGTAAGCGGTGGCCGGAGCCCCCTGGAAGTCCGTGTAAGGGATGTTCTCCTGGGGATGATGAGCTGGAATCAGGCTTGTCTGGGGAGGTAGGAGCGAGCGCAGAGCCTGCCAGCGCTGTAGTCCTGGCCTTCGCCAGGCCAAGTGGGATGCCGCGTCAGCATCCTCTGGGAGCTGGAAGTGCAGACTCGGGCCCCACCCAGACCTGCTGGATGGGAACCTGCGTTTGAACCAGATTCCCAGGGGGTTCAGGGGTACCTGAAAGCAGAGCTCTGGGCCCGCAGTTCCCCAGGGGAGTTCCCTGGCAGCTTCCTCATGTCTCGGGATGCCCGTCTTGCTGTCTTTCCTGGACACAGGGTCCTTTGGAGAATGTTGCAGAACATACAGCCCACTCTCACAGTCCCCAGGCTTTGGAGATGCATAGATTTGCTGGGGGCAGTCTCAGAAGTTTTGCAGGAAATGAAAGTGTTGGTCGCTCAGTCCTGTCTGACTCGTTGCGGGCCCCATGGACTGTAGCCCGTCAGGCGCGTCTGTCCGTGGAACTCTCCAGGCCAGAATACTGGAGTGGGTAACCATTCCCTTCTCCAGGGGCTCTTCCCGAGTGAGAGATTAAACCCGAATCTCCTGCATTGCAGGCCGATTCTTTACCGCTTCAGTGGCCAGGGAAACCCTGCCTTTGTTGTAGATAAGAGGAGAGACAGTTATTACAATGTGGACTCAGGCTAAACACGTGGGTTCTGATCGGGGCTCAGCGGCTCCCTGGGGTGTGATGTTTGCTGCTCATCAGGTGCTCTGTGCCTCGGTTTCGCCTTCTCTGAAATGGGAAGAGCGATAGTAAGTGCCAGATAGAATCATGGTGAAGTTTGTATCATTTAATACCGACTTACATGGGAACAGTGCCTGGAAGGCAGAAACCCCTTATGAAATATTGGCTAGCTAATAATAATTTGAATCTTATTTCCTTGGGGTCACTCTTTCCCCAGTCTTCTAGATGAATAATCCCAAACCCAGGAGTGCATCAAAATCACCCACGTAGCTCTTTTAAAAACAGTTTCCAGAGCCCCACACCGGACCTACTCAGTCAGTCTCCAGCAGAAAAGCCCGGGAATTTGCATTTTGTACGTTCCTGGGGGTGATTCCAAGGCAGCAAGCCTTTTCTTAGGTGGCCAGGCAGCAGCCACTCTAGAACTGGTTTTCTGTAGCCGAGTAAGGCCAGCCCCAGTGGCCCACCCGTCTGTGGGGTGCATGCAGTCTGCTCCGGGACCTGCAATTAGTGGAAGGATCTTTGCTCTGCCCCTCAACTTCCTCACCTATAAAATGAGAGCCAGGCCCTGTGGTCCTTGAATCAGCCAGGTCAGCATCTCTTGGGACTTGCTGGAAATGCAGACTCTCAGGCCCCACCCAGACCGGCTGAATCAGAATATGCATTTTAACAAGATCCCTGGGAGATCCTTGTTAAAAAAAACAAAACCAGCACCTCTCCAGAAAAAGTTGAAAAAATCAAATTTGCAGGAGTCAGATGCCTTCTTTCTTTCGGTCTCTCTCTCTCTTTTTTTTTTGCAAATTGAAATCTTTTTATTTTTGCTATTCAATCTAATGAACGGAAAGTCATAATTTAAAAGATTTCTGTTTCTATTTGTTTTAATGAATTAGCAGTAAATGAGCTTTTAATAACTGTAGCATGAACTACTCATAATTTTTTTTAATTAACCAGAATATAATAAAAATGGAAGAAGAAAATAATTGGGGGAATTTACTATCTTCAAATGAATATATTCTACACCATTTTGCAGTCACATGGGATTCAAAAACAATCTTTGAACCATCTCCCTCTCCTACCAGAATGGAACCTATGCTCTAAATAAAGGTCTTCTTTCTTCTCAAAAGCAGAGCCGCGTGAAGCTGAGGAAGGTGCTGTGTTGGTGAACACTGACTTAGTGACCCTCTGTTATCCATCCGTCCTGGGAAGAAGAAATGGCCTTGGGAATTGTGGTCGGAGTCATGGGACCATTATCTGATGTTGAAGCTTATGAGTTCCTGGGAAGGTGTTCAGGGATAAGTACCCTTTAGACAGGCTTTTCTGGAGTCTGTTAAGATGAGCTTGATTGCTCTGCATCCGTTTTGTAAATGTGTATCTAGGCGCCAACTCTGCTAAGTTTGGGTACCAGTAAACTGAGCATCACTTGTAGGAGGCAGTGATTTGGTGCTGCTGCTGTTTATATCCAGGCTTCTCATCACTAAGGAGAGGCATATGTGCCTGCCCGTGCACAGAGCTTGGCATGGACAGGAGGGGCACTCTGGCAAGCTGATGGCCTTGCAAAGGTGTATCAGTTACGCACAGCTGCATAACAAACCACCTCAAAACGTAGTGGCTTAAAGCAGCCACTATTTTATTGTTTGTGATTCTGGAACTTGGGCTGGGCTTGGCTGGTCGGTTCGTTTGTTGGTCTGGATGGTAGCTGCTTGGGGAGTTTCATTCAGATGGAAGCTGGCCTCAGTGGGGTCCTAGGACACTGGGTCTCTCTCTCTCTCTCTTTTTTTTCTCCTGCTCATTTCAAGGCTTCTTTTTCTCCACATGGTCTCTCTACATCATCCCTCTGATAGGGTAGTTCAGTTCAGTTGCTCAGTCATGTCTGAATCTTTGTGACCCCATGTACTGCAGCACACCAGGCTTCCCTGTTCATCACCAACTCCCGAAGCTTGCTCAAACTTACGTCCCTCAAGTCAGTGATGCCATCCAACCATCTCATCCTCTGTGGTCCTCTTCTCCTCCTGCCTTCCATCTTTCCCAGCATCAGGGTCTTTTCCAGTGAGTCAGCTCTTCTCATCAGGTGGCCAAAGTATTGGAGCTTCAGCATCAGTCCTTCCAGTGGATATTCCGATAGGTTAGTATGACTGCTTATGTAGCTGCCCGAACTCCTTCAGACAAGCCTGGGACTAGCGCAGCATTACTTCTGTTCCAAGTTGCCGGGCCAGCCTGCATTCGGAGGTGGGCTACACAAGGGTGTGGAATCAGAAGGTGAGTTTCAGTGGGGGTCACCAAGCTGACATTGGCACGAGGTTGGGCCTGCTGGCCCCTAGTGCTGCAGCCGATGGGAGAGGTCTCGTCCTGTGTGTGGGAGAGACAAGATTGTCTCTGAATGACACCCCCGGCTCCCCCTGAGCTTTTCCCCTCTCTTCTGTATTTCTAGCTTTGTGACTGAACTCCCCTTCCTCAGTATTTTTAGAAGCAGTTCTGCCATCATTTTTCTGCTCATCAGACTCTGAAAGATGAAGTGAAGTTCAGCCCTTCCCCTTCTTTCATGTCCTGACATGGGCTCCTGTCCAGTGGAACACTAGAAAGAGTCCTCAGAAGAACTGGCAGGGCTGGATGGCTATTCACGTTGCCACTGCCTCCTGCAGTGGGTTCTGGAGGCACTTAGCCGTGCCGGATTTGTTGAGAGGACTTCTAACTGAGCCCTGAACCCCTCCCCTGCCTGTCCAGTCGTTGCTTCTGAAATGACCACTTTAATCATCCCTTCAGAGAATGTGTGGTGGACTCCCAGGTCCTGTAAGATAGGTCAACATCCCTTGCCTATCAGTGGAGTCCATCCTCAGTCCTGTGCGGGGTGACCCCGTTCTGCTCTGAATAGTCTGTGATTCATCTGCTACGCTCTTCTCGCTGACCCTCAGCTCCAAGGCTGGTTCTCACGTCTGCTCGCTGAGTTGCCTTCTTTCCTCCTCTCTCCTGACTGGAATCAGTCCCATTCTTCTGAAGCCCCACTGAAGTCTTGCTTTCTTCACGAAGCCTTGTCCCAACACCTCAGTCACGAAGAGTCCCCCGTAGCATGGGAATCTTGGAGCGTGTATCATCTTTTTTTTTTTTTTTTTTTTTAAAGTATTTGGCTGCACCACCTGGCATGTGGGATCTTAGTTCCCTGACCAGGGATCAAACCTGCACTCTCTGCGTCAGAAGCGTGGAGTCTTAGGCCCTGGACCACCAGGGAAGTTCATTTATCATCTTTACTAGTCATTGGGCCACTCATGGCCTGCTTTATTCTTTTAATTCTCTCTCTTTTGTGACATTGCAGCTGTTGAAGCAATGCTTCTATCTGTCAGTTCAGTTCAGTTGCTCAGTCGTGTCTGATTCTTTTTGGACCCCCGGGACTGCAGCACCCCAGGCCTGCCTGTCCATCACCAACTCCCAGAGCTCGCTCAAACTCACATCCCTCGAGTCGGTGATGCCGTCCAGCCATCTCATGCTCTGTCGTCCCTCTCTCCTCCTGCCCGCAGTCTGTCTTTACCGAGATAATAGCAATAGTAAGTGAAGCATGTCCTCTCTTCTCTCCTTGCTGAGGTGACTCTGAGATTTGCCCAGAGGCTGCTCAGGAGTCCCCCGAGGGAGCCGTCCACGTGGCATTTAGAACATCTCTGAAACTGCCGGATGGGGAGTCAGGAAGAGGGAGCCTGGAGGCAGCCTTGACTCAGTTCAGCTCCCGGCTCTACCTCTGCGTAAAAAATAAATAAATAAATAAATTTTACCTCAGCCGAGATTCTGCCGGCGTTTAAGCTGGGGAAGTCGTACACGATGCCGAGACTCAGCAGGGATGACATCTGCTTCCCGTGCATTGTGACAAACCCGACGTCCCCACATTATGGTTTCCCAGACCCCGGCTTGAGAATCTCTGAGACTGTCTGGATGGTGTCCTTGGGCAGTTCATTTATCCACCTAAGACTCTCCAGTCAAACCTTGGAGGGTGGTTGCGAGAGTTGCGTTAGTTCGTGACGTGTGGCGTCTGGTACGGAGCTAATGTTTATTGAGCACTCAGGTTGTTGGTTTATTGACTGACCATCATGGATGGCACGTGGCGACTCCGGGACAGGCTCTTCCTCTCGCCTCTCTGGCTGCTCTTTGCCCAGGGGGCTTCAGCAGCCCTTGGCCCTTCTCTTTGCTTGTCTGGGGGTCACACCTGCCCTCACCTGCCCACGGGGTGTGGCAGGATTACATATCCTTGGTAAGCACTCCTGTCCGTCCGAAGCGGCCGTTGGCTTCTTTGCTCACTGCTCATATGAGACTTTGCAAATTTGCCTTGGGAACTAAAGGACATTGGACAGCTGTTTATTGAGTGTCCACTATGTGTCTGGCCTAACGAGGAACTCGAGGGTGGGTGGTGAAGCCAGGAAAAAGCAAGTGCCAATTTATTTCTATCCATGTTTGTTGCTAGGTTGTTCCCGCCTGTTCACTCTTAGAGTTGCTGAATTTGTGTGTGTGTGTGTGTGTGTGTGTGTGCAAGCTGTGTTTTCTGAGGGCATTTTGATAGCGGAGATGAGGGCAGAGACAGGGAGATGGTTGTTGTTTAGTCTCCAACTTGCATCTGACTCTGTGACCCCACGGACTGTAGCCCGCCGGGCTCCCCTGTCCATGGGATTCCTCAGGCAAGAATCCTGGAGTGGGCTGCCATTTCCTTCTCCAGGGGATCTTCCCGACCCAGGGATGGAACCTGGGTCTTCTACAGTGGCAGGTGGCAGATTCTTTGCCACTGACCCAAGGGAGATGGTAGTTGTGCTTAATAGCTGGAGAACAAGTAGGAGAAACATGGTCAAATGGCCCCGTTGCCTCACTGCAACGGCAGCCAGCCTGGCTTGGTCAGATGATGAAGACAGCTGGATGGGAACTAGGTCTGACTTGCTGAGGTGGGTCTGTCCTCTCTTTGATGACTTCATTCATGGATGCCCTGATTTTCAAGCTCTGCTTCATCTTGTACGGTATGGTTGATACGAATGAATTCTTGCAAGTGAAATGAGGGCTGGGAGTGGAGGTAGCGACCCCCAATAATTACACGACACGTCCTTGCCAGATGTTGAGGAAAGAGCAGAAAGCGCTGTTCGCCTTCAGCTGTGAGGCACCTTGTCCGAGGTGTTCATGACGTTTAGGGCTTTAGGTTTAATACAAGCTCGATCAGGGTGATGGAAAGGGTCACGTGTAAGGAGGGAGTCCCTCCATGTGATGGGAAGGAATTTACTTTTTGTCTCTGCTCCCCAGACCTTGTGGTCCATTCTGTTCATTCAGGTCAGAGAAGGTCTCATCTGGGGAGTGTACAGTGCTGAGTCCATCTGAATGGGTGATGGTCAGCCTGTGGGCTACGGGCTCGGTCTGATTCGTAGGTGTGTTTTGTTGGCTGACGGTGTTCAGTGTCTTTTTGTTTAATTTATTTTCTATTGAAGTATGGTTGATTTATAGTGTTACGTGTGTACAGAAATGTGATTGTTATAGCTGTGTGTTTGTATATCTGTTCTGTTTCATTTTCTTTCCCATTATAGGCTATTACATGTTATTGAATATAGTTCCCTGTGCTATACAGTAGGTCCTTGTGGTTTATCTGTTTTATATATAGTGATGTGTATCTGTTAATTCCAAACTCTTATTTATCCCTCCCTCTAACTTTTCTCTCTGGGTTTCCCAGGTGGTACTAGTGGTAAAGAACCTGCCTGCCATTGCAGGAGACACAAGAGATGGCGGTTCCATCCCTGGGTCGGGAAGATCCCTTGCAGTAGGAAGTGGCAGCCCGCTCCGGTGTTTTTGCCTAGAAAATCCCATGGACAGAAGATCCTGGTGGCCTACAGTCCATGGGGTCGCTAAGAGTCAGACAGGCCTGAGCTAAATTCCCTTTCCCCTCTGGTGACCATACGTTTGTTTTCTGCATCTGTGAGTCTTCTGCTTTATAGATTTGTGTCAGACTTTCGGTTCCGCCTGTAAGTGATATCACAGAGCACTTGTCTTTCTCTGACTTCTTGTACTTTGTATGACCTCTGCTAGGTGCCCCTGACTTTCTACAAGTAGCATTATTTCACTTTTTATGGGTTTCTTAAAGTTAGTGGCCAGTGTTATCGGTTGCAGTATCTCATTTAGAAATCCAGTTTTCCAGCTTCTCTGGATAAGTCAGGAAATCTGGCCGCAGTGGGCGTTTCTTTCCCAGATGGCAAACATCAGTGAGCCGAGTGATCAGGTCCCCTTAGGCCTGGACAGTGGCTCTCAGTGTATTCAGATCCCCACGCATCCTGACCTGGTCCTGTCATGCCTGGCCCTCTTGGTCTGATTTAAGTACCGCTGGCCCCACGGACTCTCACGCCCAGGATCCCAGGCCACACAGCAGCCTTCTCTCGGATGCTGGCAGAGTGGTGACACTGCAAGGCCTGGAGGCTGGGCTGCCAGTGTCCTGGGGTCCGTGGTGAGAGGAGGAAGGTGTGATTCTCTGCTTCTGGGTCAAAAGGCCAAGAGTTCGTCTTCTTTATCCGTTCATCGATGGACATTTAGGTTACTTCCATGTCTTGGCTGTTGTAAGTAGTGCGTAGCAGCCCTTTTGGAAATAGCCCAAGATTAGAAAGCACCCAGATGCCTATCCACAGTAAAATGAATAAATAGCATGTGATCAATTCATCCCCGGGAGTACTATACAGCACTCAAAATGAGTGAGCTGCCGTTAAACACTGCTAGATGCGTCTCCCCAGCATAATGTTAAGTCAAAGATAAGCAGAAGTGAAGCATCCACCAGAGAAGGACTCTTGCCTGTGTACCATAGTTACCCAAAGTTCCAAAGCAGGCAGAGCCCGTCTGTGCTCTTAGAAGTCAGAACAGCGGTTGCCCTCAACTGATGGTGATGACCAGAAATGCTCTGGGGAGAACTGGTAATGATCTGTGTTCGGTTACACGGATGTGTTTACTTTGTGAAAATTCAGTGAGCTGTGTGCTCTCATGACGTTCATTTTCCTGTTGTATATTTTATCTCCATACGGAGTTAAAATTCATAAAGGCAAAAAAACACAAAAAGTTAAGAGATACAGAGCTATAATTTCCAAGTGCCCATGCCAGGATTTTTGCACAGAATCCTGCATCTCTCAGAGTTCTTGTTTGCAAGCAACAGAAATCACCCCTGGCTAATTTAAGCGGAGAAGAGACTTATTAAACAGCAGGTTGCTTTGGCTCAGCGTCTCCTTGAGGGCGGGAGCCAGGTTTGGAGGCTCTGCAGCCTGGAACGTGTCCCATTTGCTGCTGAATCGGTCCATTCTAACCACTGAGCACATCCGTCAGAGCCGACATCCCTGATGCTGGACGCAGGAGGCTGCCCTCCTGCCACTGTTGCTACCCCACCTCTCTGGAGTGGGTTTCTCAGGACTCAGGCTTAGTTTTGTGTCACTGCCTCAGGCTCAAAGTCAGGCATGGGTGGAACTGATAGGGGTGCTTGCGTGCTCAGTCGCGTGATCCCACGGACTGTAGCCCACTGGACTCCTCTGCCATGGGATCTCCCAGGCAAGAATACTGGAGTGGGTTGCCGTTTCCTTCCCCAGGGGATCTTCCTGACCGAGGGAGCGAACCTGAATCTGCTGGGTCTCCAGCACTGCAGGCAGATTCTTTACCATCTGAGCCACCCGGGGAAGCACGGTTGACTGTTAAACGAGTGGAGTGATAAATGGGCTAATGAGCCATACCCTGGAGAGTCTGGAGATAATAAAGCATGGGGCACTGCAGACAGTCCATAGATTATAATAACAATAGCTATTGTTGTTTACAGATGAAGAACACATGCTCTGATCTCAGCCACAAGGTGAACGTGAAAGTTGCTCAGTCGTGTCCGACTCTGTGTGACTCCATGGACTATACAGTCCGTGGAATTCTCCAGGCCAGAATACTGCAGTGGGTAGCCATTCCCTTCTCCAGGGGATCTTCCTGACCGAGGAATTGAACCAGGGTCTCATGCATTGCAGGTGGATTCTTTACCAGCTGAGCCGTCAGGGAAGCCACAGGTACTTGGGTACTAGACGGGAAAGACGGTCCTGATAGACCGGGAGCGCCCTCCCCGACTCTGACGGTCTCCCTCTGCTGCCTTGGTTCTCATCTGAAGATTCGTTATACCAGTGAGGAAGCCTAGGTCTTAAACACCGCAGTCCTAGCGCAGCTGCTCAAACACGCGTTGCAGGACAAATGCGCCTGCTGAGCCACGCTGGCCGGGCCAGACAAGTACCACCCAAACCTCTGACCCCTGCAAAGCACGCCTTTGCAGGAGCGGCCTCTGCAAGCCTCAGCTGACCAGGGGAGCCGGAGATGGCCACTTCTGTCGTTCAGTCTCAGTAAACGCCTTCGCTCGAAGCTGATTGGAAGCTCCATCATTTAAGGTCCCACAGATGGCCACTGCCCGATACCCCTTTGGCTCTCTAGCAACTGTCCTGATGCTCGCCCTTTGGGCAGAGCTGGGAGAGACGCCTGGCCGGGCCCGCCATCTGCAGAACCAGCTCTGCCGGCTGGAAGGGTTATCCTGGCAGCTCGCTGACGGGCCCGCGGAGCACAGGGCCGCAGTATAAACAGGATGGAAGGAAGGCAGGGTGCTTGGGGAAGTACCGCGTGTGGCCATGCTTCCTCTCTCGGACCCCTCCCTCAGTCATCTCCTGGCCCCTCCTCACGCCACACCCTGGGCAGCCCCATGGGAGAGGAGCCCCCCTGTTTGCAGGGAGAAAACAAATTCCAGGACAGGAAGACGCACCCTGGAAGACAAGGCTTTCCCAGCAGTCATGTCCACCTCAGCCCGGCGGGGAAGGCGCTGGGGCTGCAAGAGGTTAAAACTTGCCCCGTGTTT